AAATGTCGAGAGAGTCCGGTAGAAGGTCAGTGGATATAGGCGCCGTGAACCGAAGTTCAAGGGGAGGCAAAGCTAAGGCCACCTTCGACGGTTCGACCTTAAGAGGACGCGGTTCTCAAGGAAGACACTTCGTCATCTCGTGGGCGACGCTTTGACGGATCAAGAATTTGAACATTATATGTGAGGTAGAGGCGACGCCAATCTTGAAACTCTTGAAAGTTTATTCGAGGACATTGATAAAGCAGGAATGGATGTGGAGCCTACACCGCACAACAACAATCCTACCGACGTTGACGAAAAGGCAAGTGAGCGCGAGACCTCTCAAGGTCCAGACAAAGAAAAAAAATTAAATTCAGATTTATTTATTTATCATTTTTCAAAAGAAACAAAAGATGGCATAGTTTATGGAACTTGTAATTTTTGTGCCACCGTCATTAAAATGGGAATTTCCGGCGGTTATGGTGGTCCAGAAAAACACCTAAGGTCGAGGCATCCCGTGGAGTACGCCAAGTACACGGCGAAAAAGAACGGACAACAAGAAGTGCAAACCCAAATTATTCGGTTTGCTAACAGGGGTAAGGGCTGCCTTTTTGCTTATAGCAACGAGCAAAATAAGCGAAAAATGGTCGTAAAGATTTGTGAAGAAAATTTGCTATACATGTTTTCTGAAAAACTTGGATTTATTGATTATTGTCAACATGCATTAAACCCTCAAGCAAGAGGTTTTTCAAGAAAAAACAATTGAGCGAGAAATTATTCGATAGTATAAAGTTAAAAAAATCAATTTGGCAATTTTTTTTCTCAATTTTAATTGTCGTGTTACTATTTGTTCTTATATTTGGGGTGAAAAATATGATAATTTGTCTTATATGGGTATTATTTGTCATTGGATAGATAGTGATTGGATAATGCATAAACGTGTTTTTGCATTTCATGATTTCAATGTTTCTCATACTGGTGAAAATAATTTTCTATTGCTTCAGCGTATTCTGCGGGAATACAACCTAGTTGATAAAGTATTTACATTTGATTTTGATAATGCTACTAATAATACTACTGTTATTCCTAGACTTAAAAAAATTTGCCCCGTACTACGAGTATGGGTTAGGGGTGTGCACAATTCGGTAAATCGACCGAACCTTACCGAAACCAAAAATTCGCCACGTACTGAAACCAAACCGAATAATTTGGTTTGGTATTTGGTTTTTCTTTTTGCTAAAATTCAGTTTTCGGTTCGGTTTGACTTAGTAAATCGGTAATTCAGTTTTTACCGAATACCAAATTATTACTCCATTTTATTATTTTAAATATTTTGAAGTTTAAATTCTAACCTTGAGTCCTATCAACTCATATAGTGGTCTACCTTATTTTATCCTTCCTTTTATTCACAATTTTAATTTTTAAAAAAATACTTCATATCTAGCTAAATTTTCTCTTGCTTACTATTTGACTCTTTCTTTTTCACTTTTTTGTTTCATTTATTCTAAATGATCAATACATTGACCTCATTTCGTAGGGCAATAAATTACCGATGGCTAAAGGTAAGATATTTTAAACATTTTGATAGCATAATTTTTATATTTTGAATTTTTGATTTCTTTTTTTATATTTCACTTTTTTACATGATCAAAATCATGTGCTTCGATAATCTTTTAATAATATGAAAATTTAAGTAATTGATGACTAACTATAGCTAAAAAATATGAAGTATTTCTAATTTATTTAAATGTTGAATGAGATTGCTTGTGGTACAAATTGAAAATAAAAAAAAGTTAAGTATAGATGAAAATAAAATGAAATTTTTGGTTTTTTTGGTATTACCGAATACCAAACCGAAATAATTTCGGTATTAACCGTACTGAACCGATTTAATACGTTTCGGTATTCGGTACAAATATAATATTACCAAAATTTCGGTTTACCGAAATTTCGGTTCGGTTCGGTATAGTTTTACCGAATGAACATCCCTAGTATGGGTACATTTCTTCATGAAAGATGTGCTTGTCATATTTTTAAGTTATGTGTTCAACAGGGATTAGAAGCTATGGGGGGTTTGACAAATATTAAAAATGGAATTAGAAGGATTTGGGGTAGTCGTCTTCATTCGAATTCCTGGAAGACATTCTGTAAGTCTAAGGGTAGAAGAGCAATAACATTTGCCAAAGATATCACCATTAGATGGAACAGTACATACAAGTTGATAGCACAAATTCTAAGCTACAAAGAAGAACTTGCTGGATTTTTTAGGGATGAACTTATTTTAATGATTTCACCTAATGAATTTGTTATTGTTGAAAAATTGAATGGCGTATTTGAAGTTTTTAATAACGCAACTCTTACTTTTCGCATGTTTACCAATCAACTACAAATAGATTTTTAAAAAAATGCGTTACAATCGCAATATGTTTTTGTGAAAGTTTGGCTGATCCAAATTTGTACCTTTATGTCTCTCCTATGAAAAATAAATGGTGTGCTTATTATTTGTACATTACTGATATTGGTAAATAGGTATTATTTGTGATCCACGCCTTAAGATTGAAAATTATAAAATTCTAATTGACTATTACTACAGTTGTTTTTTAGATTAAAATAATTATTACTACACCTATTTAATTGAATGCCAAAAAGAAAGAGATAATGCTATTACTCTTTTTGAGGCTTTATTTAAGGAATTTCAAGGGATATATGGTAATGTACCGGAAGAAACAGCACCTCCTCCGTCGGTTTTAAAGGAATAGTCGGTGGGCTTCTTGCAAAGAAAGGGAAGCGTGCTCAGGCACTCAGCATTCGACGAGCTCAGGTGGTACAACTGTAAGCTCGCACAGCGAACTTGATATGTACCAAGGGGTGCCATGCGATTACGACAACGACGTGGAGTTTGACGTCCTCGGATGGTGGAAGCGGAACGAACACATGTTCCCATGTCTCGGAATGCTAGTAAGACAAGTTTTATCTGTCCCGATATCAACCGTAGCAGTGGAACAAGAATTCAGTGTGGCGGCAACATTATAACCGACTTCCGAAGTTGTTTTAGCGCTGAATCTCTTGAAACATTTGTTTGCAACCGAGATTGGCTCTTGGCAAGACGTCGAGCTCAAGGGTCAGAATACGATTTGAATTTCGATCATTACATGAATACAACCCAAATGTTTGTGAAAATGGCTCTAATAATATTGGTAAGCATTCTGAAGGTGGGCTGTGATGAAGGCCTAACAAGGCAAAATCGGGTTGCCAGTCCAATTTGGTTGTGATGAACGCCTAACAAATGCAGTTGGCCTAGGAAATGTGTAGGTATGGCATCAGATAAGGTTCGGGTTGGATAGTACAATATCCGAACCTGACCCAACTTTTAAATTCGAAACCTAAACCCAAATTTTAAACTCAAAACCGAACTGATCTGAACTCGACTTTCAATCCAAATTCGAATCCAAACCCAAAATTTAACCAATAACAAATTTTAAACCACACCTTTATATTAACAAAACATCTGATCCAAACCGGACCAAAATTTTGACACATTAAATTGCTACATTTGCATATACCATAATGAGTATTATATTATAAGCAGTACTCCGCAGAGGAAAAAACAAAAAAATATTATACAAAAGATCATGATTAACAAGATATTAGAGGTAAAGAAACGATTACTGAGGGAGTAGCGGGATGTGAGAAAGAAAGAGAGATGCGGCTGATTGTTAGGAAAAAACGAGAAGTGATGAAATGGGAGGATATATTACTCGTATAATATACTATGGAGTATTAAATTATACCCGGAGTATGCAGTATTTTCTAGAGGCATGTATAGGATTTTTTAGTTTTAAATGATGGGGTTTGGGTTAGGTTAGGGTCGGATAAAATATGGAACCTGAACCCGACCCGAATAGTGTGGGGTTTGGGTTTGAATTTTCGGTTCAGATTTGGATATTTAAATTCTTGGATTTGGATATTTTAGTGTTTAATCCTATCAGTTACGATCGAGTTCGTATAGAATTGCTATCCTTAGTAATGTGGATGCTCAAAGTTATCTTACAAAAGCAGGGGTCTTTATTGGTTTCCTCTCTTTCTTTTCTTTGTTTATGTATTTTGGACCCTTTTGTTTTCTAATAAAACTTACTTGGTCCGTCCCTAAGTCTTTGTTCACTTTTGACTTTTGGAACTGTTCATCTAAGTACTTTGACTCATCAAATTCTCTCAATGTGCAAGCCTAAAAATAGTCATGTTTGATCTTGTTTGATTCGTCTTAACATATAGATTATTAATATATAATTTTTATAATTTTTTAATATACAAATTACAAGATAAAATGGATTAAAGAAGTGCATTGGATGGTGTGCAAAAATGAAAGTGGACAAACACTCTGGGACGGAGGGAGTATTTTTTTAAAAAAATAATTGCAGATGGACCCAAATTTTAATTTCCATGTGAATGTTGTTAATCACGGTCCCTTTTTTGCTTTACATGAAGCCATTCAGATGGAAAAATTCTCAAAATACAAATGTGATGTATTTGTATATTGTAGATGATAAAGTTTCTGTAAACAATGGTGAATTTAAAATATTTCGTGATACAATTGTATATGAGTTACATGCATGCCGTTGTACAAGTCCTGATACTATAGCCTTGGTAAGGTTGTTTTTTTATTCTTTGAAAAAAGGCTTTATTGTGATGTAACTTTCTCTTAAATTTTAAAAATGTACACCACCAACACTTTCGATGTAGGCTCTCTTCCCGGTCATGCAACAAAAGTGGTGCAATTTGATTGATATTCTGCGGAGTAATATTTATTTTATGGATTCTTGAACATTACAGTGACTTTGTGCCACGTCGTTTTTTGAATTGGTGAGTGTTGTGTTTCATTCGCATTATTTTTTGTCGTTTTCCCATTCAAAGTAATGTATTTGTATTATACATGTAATGGAAACGAAATAATATTACTCAAATAAAAAAATGTACATTAGGGGAGGACTACAACCACATAAAACCATACATGCAACGAAATAACCGCGAGTACTTGCGGGTACTCTCAAAAAAGACAAATCGAATATACAAAAAAGAAGGAAACAAAGCAAACCCCCCTATAAAAGGGAACAAAGCCGCCCAGATATGCTGATCCCCAACAAAATTCCATTCTGAAATCAGATGGGTCTCCCAAAGTCAACCATGAGGGACCTGTGAGAGCATCTGAATCCTGATGGGTTCTTCAGAGAGGATAGTCAAAGCAGCTATGAAATCAGAGAACACCTGAAAATCAGTGGCAATTCAATTCAAAATATAATAATTGTTTGAGATATCTGCAATACTAGAGACAGCTGTTGTTAGATATATCTGCAACTAACTTTTGAAAAATCAGTTTCTGATATCTTTACTTTTTTGCCAGTGGTAAAGCATTACAATCGAAATGCAGAGGTATTTAAACAGATCATTAACAAGTAAACATACACCCTGCACTACTTTGAGGAGATAAATTTATTCAAATGGAACCAAGAAACACACCAACCAGAAAAGTTTTACAGGTTCTGAAGCTCTAGATTGAGACACTGTTTGGGATGCCTTTGCCAGTTAGACCAGCTTCACTTGTAGGGAAGAGCAACGTGTACGGTACCTTCACAGGCCCTGTTCTGTTCTTCAGTTTTACATCTGTGTTCATTTTCATTATGCCATCCTCAATATCCCCAAGCTTCTTTCCAAATCGTGCAAACGCGTCACGTGCTTCCTGGTCTTTTGTCCACTCAGGGGACTCTCTTTGCCCTAGGTACACCTCATCCGAAGGATGCCTTGACAAAATCTCAATAAGGGAAACACCTAGCAGTGTCTGGAGCTGAGCAGTGATTGTTCTTAGGAAAACTTTGTCTGGATCAGTCTCAAGCTCCTTGTACTCGGTAGTTCCAGGCTCCGGCATGAATCTGCGGCTCAGGGTTGGGCGGTTTGGGAGATAACCAGCATAGGGATATTGACCAAAGTTAACAGCTGCATGAAGAGCAGATGCTATCCAGATAATAATGGTACATGAGTCAATCAGCTCCTGGACTGTCTGCATTTTAGGCCACCATGGCTTATCTTTTAAATCACCATGTCCTTGCTCTCGGAGTTCCTTCCACCAAGCCTGAAGTTCAGTATCTTTCAGTACCATGTCATCTGACTTGTAATATAACTTGCAGTAATCATCTACCCATGTTTTGATAGATGACCATATTTCTAGCCCGTCAACAGCATATGGGTAGTCCTCAATTAGTAGGCGAACACCATGTGGGGAATTTTGGTCTTCTACCGCCACACCTCTAAAACATCATATAGAGCAACCGTTAAATCACTTGCATTGCTATATTATGACACTGAAGATTGGCAAAATTTTAACAAAAAGCAAAGTTACTGACGTGTACAAGATCAACTAGTGGCATCATAATGATATATCATTGTAACAGAGAAAAACTCCACTGAGTTTGTGATTTGAATGTTTTGGAGGCAGTAAGCCAAGACAGTGATTTATGTGGGGATCATGGGATACCTCTTTACAAGATCAGTTGGGAGTGCCTGGTCAGTGAAAACCCAATCCTTGTAAACTACAGCAGACATTTCCATGGCATATCTGCCAGGGAAAACTGTCTTCTCAAGAATTCCACCAGCATTGATCAATATCTGGCGAGCCAAAGCATTGATAGTCATGGTGTCACGAAAATGGGGATGCAGAAGCTTATATATTGGGTGAAGTACACTCAATTGCCTATTTGTTGCAATAACGAATGGCTCAATCACAGCATGTGTGTTCAACCTATGATGGAGATTCAAAATAAAAAATTAAGGAATAGGTAATATATCCAACAACAAAAATTTAATTCTATTTGATTTTATAAACGGCAATATACATACCAGTGGCTGACCAACTGATGAACCCCTGAATCATTCACAGCAACATAAGCTTTAGCTAATTGCCACACACCATTTTCAACACCTTCTTCAGCTGGTGTGTACACTTTGCTTTTAGCACCAAATTTATCTCCAAGTGGATTCGGCAAGCTCAGCTCAATTGCTATAGGCATCAAAGTGCCATCAGTTTGCAAGAAAAGCATAGTTCTTGAGGCGTAGATTTTGTTATTTGTTGAATTTATGCGCCTCAGATATGGCATAAGCATGTCATGATGGTTCAATATGAATAACCGGTTATTCTTGATTGCCTGTACAAATGTACAATCAACATCACATAACATCAATATTTTAGAATATTGGGGCTTTACAAATTAAGTGCAACCAACAAACGAAATGAGATTACCTCCTCAACTGAAAGACCATCTAATCTGCCTTGGATATTCTCTTTTGTGATTTTACTGGTTTGGTCACCATAAACATTAGGATCCAGTTTACTTTTTGGTGGGAACTCCTGTAATAAAAAATTAAACAATTAAAACATCATCTTTAATAGTTTAACTGATGATTCACATGCCATAATGTAATTTTTGTTGTCTGTTAAGAAGTTTAAATAGTCCAATAAAGTTGAGGTACTTGGAGGCGACTAATGATCACAGGGTTCACTCCAGCCAGCATTTCTCTTCCAAATTCATCATTGGTTCTCCATGCAGTTTTATCCTCTATTTTGCAGCATACACAATTTGGGAATTAGAAATGATGGGAAAATATAAGTAACACAACTATATAAAAAAGAGATTTTACAAATACCTTGGATAACCTGTGGGGTAGGGAATTTAAAGAGCCCCTCACCATCACTGCGGAAGAATTCCCTCAGCATCTCAATGGGAATGTTATCAGTAATGGCTTTGAACAAGGGCCCTTGTGGCAATCTGATCCCTCCTTCATAGAGGTTAAGTACATCTTGAATGCTGTCAAACTCTTTCGGGGTAGAATCAAACAGAGACTTAAACTCAGGGAGAAAAAACTGAACCAGAGATTTCAATGCATAAGTAAGAAAGTCTGCCAATTTCAGATGCCCGAACCTCTCATCCCTTGGAACATATATATCTAAGCTCATCAAAAGCGGAATCCTACTTTCAAAATTAGGATCTAGCATGGAAATAAAAGAAGTTTAAAAAAATGCTAAACAAAAAACTCATCAAAGGGTGAAAAATATACAATTTATACAGCCATATATGCATTACCCGTCTTTGTCGGGGATCTGCCTGTCCTTCCTCGACGAGGATAAGGATACTCTGAGTTTCCACCCAAAATAGGTCTAGCAAATTCTTCACCTTTGTCTGGATCACCCAAGTCATTGTAGTAAGCATAGTCATACACTCTGTCCCATTCCTTAAGCTCTCCACTTCCAGTTCCTCTCAATATTACTAATTCTTGTTCTCTATATTCCTTCAACAGGGCAGGCGTTTCGCTCGGAAGTAAGGCCTGCAGTAATGAGCTCACGAGTCATGATATCATCACCGAATTATTCATCCCAAATAAGAGAATAAACCTAATTAATATGTACGACGAAGTTTTATAGAGAGAGAGGAACCCTAATTTCAACCAAACAGATAGGCATGGAGAAGAAATTCGTACCTGGTTTGCGAAGAAGACGCGGTCGTAGTTGTATTTAGAGGCCGGATAAACCCAAGAGTGGCATACAAAGTGGACATCGCCATGATTGGGAAGGTCATGGAGGGTAATGGTTTTGAGGAAGAACTCGTTGGGATGATTGTTCTTGATGACGCACGCTACCGGAACCCCAAAATCTTCATCCCACTCGAAGCCAAATTCGAACGCCGACTCGCCGGAGGCTAAAAGGGGGTTGTTGAGCACCCAATTGTTCAAAGAGGTGGCCTTGCTGCGCTTTCCTTTCAAACCATTTCATGCAATTTCACCATTCTCAGCGCATTTAAAAATGAATAAGTTAAGAAGAGTTTTAGAATAAGTTTTGAAACCGTGATCCCAAAATTAGGCTCTGACATTGTAGTTAGTGTTATGGGAGGATGATACCAGGGCCTCTTTGGGAATAGCTTTAGAGATTAGCGTTAGCGTTTTGGATAAAAATTTAACGGTACAGATTACTTTGAAAACGCTAATGCTAAACGCTGCATGTAGATAGCCTTTTCAAAACGCTAATCGCTAAAGCTATTCCCAAACAGGCCCCAAGTAATTTTGTTGTCCCACCCCCATTAAATCTAATTAAATGAAGAATTTGGTGATGGATTTATATAGTTAATGATTCTTTCACCTTAATGGTAATTTTTAGAGATGTAAGAGCATCTCTAACCCCGTTTACTATTGAGTATATTGACTTGTTGTTTTTATATTTTAACAATTGAATAGTGATATTTTGTTTCATCCTCCAACCATGAATTGCTAAACCATTCTACAATTCTTGGCTTCCTATAATTTGGAGAGCTTGTCATATTTAACTAGCCAAAGTCATTTTTTGGCAAGCTTGCTAAAATTTAGCACACTCATTGGAGAAGAAAAAAATGTGTTGACTTGCTATATTATGACTTTTAGCAAGCCAAAATAGAATGATTGAAGATGCTCTAACTCTCCCATGTGATGTATCGATGGTATCAAAGCAACCTCAGAGTGTTGGCCTACGGAGTGGTGACCTAGAGAAACTAGTTGTGACCAATGTAATCGTGACCAACGTAGCTGTGACTAACGAGGACGTTGGGCCTTATGGGGGTCGAACGATACAGACCGATTTCATTGTCCCACACCAGTTAAATGGGAGACTTGGTGATAGGTTTATATAGTCAAGGGTTCTCCCACCTTAATAGCTAGCTTTTGTGATGTGGCTCTCACTTGTGTTGTATCAGATGATTTGGGGGCATTACGCTCCAATGATCACGTTCTATTTTTTTAAATTTTCTAAAGCTATTATTCTACTATTCGAGTAGATCATAAGAGGTGTTGAAAGGGAAGTGACACATTATAGATCGTTCATTCAATAGTTATTTTTTAACGAAAATGAGGAATATCAAGTACACATGTATTATTTTTCATAATATGATTATAGAGGATAATGAATTCACAATTTGTCATTACAATCCAGACGATGAGGTGCCTGCCTACAATGAAATTAATGAAGAAAAGAAACAAATAAACCAGCAAGAAATTTGAAGACGAGAGATTCACAATGCACTAACTGCGAATATTACTGAACATATTTTTAGTTGCTCAAATAATCATTAATTTTTTTGTAATGTAATGTAATTTTTGAGTTTTTTTTGTCGTCCAACTAATGTAATTTTTATTTATGTTTTTATTATCAAAATCTTTTTTTATTAATGTAATCTTTTTAAAAGTTAATGTGCATTTTTATTGAATGCGATATTGCATTTTAAATTTAATTAATTAATGAAATTTTAATTATTTTCTTTTATAAAATATGTATTAAAAAATAAAAATAAAGGTTTGAAACCTCAGACTTCAAACTCATTTCCAGTGAAACTGAGAGGTAAGTTAAAAGAGAATTAAAGCTGATGTGGCAGAGAGAAGATTCGATTAACTGGTTCATCGTTATTTCTAGTGCTCTTAGAATGACTTATTAACAAGTATGCCGACATGCTTCCATTATTATTGTTATGATTATTATTATCAATTACTATTATCATCATCAATGTCCATAAAATGATATAAAAAAAAATGAATTTATTTCATAATTCTAATAAAAATACTTCATGTCCCTATTTTGATTATAAAATGTGAAATACGAGATAAAATTCCATGGGTTTTGAAATTATTTATTTACAAATTGGTGCATTAATAAGAAATAAAAATCACATATTAAAATATTACATCCAATGGTTTTGAAAACAAGGAAAACAAGAATATTTTATTTAATCAAATAATTAATGAAAACACACAAATAAACAAAAATTATTGAAAAGAGAGAGAAAATAAAATTTTAATCAAAATTTGGAGGGAATATTATTTTGTCTCAAAATCAAATTTATATTATCATTATTGAGTTAACATAAGTAAATATTAAAATGTCAAATAAATTATTTTAATAAAAAATTTGCCTTGTAATATTACATAATGATATTTCTTTGAAATGACTCTTACTTGTACTTTAATTTAAATTTCTTAATTATTTTATAATATATTTTTACTCAAATTTATTCATCTTTTATATAATTTAATAAATTTGTTAAAAATTTCACTTTTTAAAATTTAAATAGTGTATAGTATTTTTGTTTATTTTCTGACACGTTTAGTTAGGTGGTTCTTTCTTTCTCATTATTAAGTTAACGTAAAAAAAAATTAAAATGTTAAATAATTTTATTCAATAAATGATTCTCCTTTTAATTTAGTAGTATTCCATAATGATATTTCTTTGAAATGACTCTTCCTTGTAATTTAATTTGAATTTCTTAATTATTTTATAATAACTTTTTTACCCAAATTTATTCATTTTTTATAATAATTTATTAAAAATTACACTTTTTAATTTTTAAATAGTGTATAATACACCATCTGTACCTCATAAATCTTCCCATTAGCCCTTTTTATTTGTTACTAACTAGCAAAAAAATGAAATGTAATTATCTTCCCTATGTTATGAGGTGTGAAAACTGACCTAAAGAATGGGGTAGAGCAGAACTGATGAATTCAACAGACACTTTGCGGCCGAGAAAATCGGAGAGATTGTCGACAATGGAGGCTTTGAAGTCGTTAAAGTCTAAAGCATTCTTCTTCGCCAAAACCGCCCTTCCCTTTATCTTCTTCTTCTTCCCCTGCTGCTTCGTTGTCAATAATGAACCAAGCAGCAACATTTTCACCCAACTCCATTTCTGACGGGTCTGTCTTCGGACCAGATCGATGAACAGAGTAGTTATAAACCACATGATTACCCCTTTCTTTTTCTTTTTTATTTGTGTTTGGGTAGTCGGGAGAGACGGCCGCCGGCGTATTTATTGCCTAACTGGGAAGATCCGGCTTCCCCATCTCCTTTAGTATTTGTTCTCATGGTGGTGGTTTTTAAGGAGAGTTGAAAAAAAGGTGAAAGTTTACCATAATACCCGTGATGAAAAATGGATAGAGTGTATTAAATGAGGTGGGTGAGGTTAATAAATAAAGTAAGTGGGGTAATTGTGGTATTTTAATTGTTAAAAAATGAAATTAGAAGATCTATTGTGGACAAAGAAAAAGAGCTATTGAGAAGATCTATGGGGACGGAGGGAGTAATTTTTTAAATTTATTTTTGTTTCTAGTTTAATTCATTGTAATTTTTTAGTTCTAATTCTGTTTTTTTTTACTTTTTACTTCGGTTGTGATACACTGACTCCCTGTATGTTTTTTTGGGTTGAAATTTCAAAGTTGGATACTAGAAGAAATGAGAAAGAGTTAGAAAAATCGAAAGGAATTGAAAAAAAACTGAAAGAAGTTGGAAAGTGTTGGAATAATTAAAGTGTCAAAAAGTCACGCAATAATGTGATCACCCAAATAAATATGTACGAAAACTTTAATTTTGGATTTTAAAAAAATCTATGCTTCTGTGGGTTTGTGGAGGTTTGTTATGAATTTGGATATATAATGTTATAAGAAATGTCCTTGGCAGAAGTAAAAAAAATTTTGAAAAATACCAAAATATGAATCCTATGTATTTTAAGACCAAAATAAAAGTATAATGGCAGTGTGGTCTAAGAAAATGCATTGATAATATAATGGAAAACTAATGACAATGTAATAAGCCAGTGTGATCAGTCAACCATCGGTGATCTGCGTCACTCGAGTGGCTGGCAGCGTCGGATGGCAGTACGTCGTTGATAATGTGATAATGTGGTGAATGTGTCATTGTATCAAAGACGGTGTGAACTTCTATTTTGATTTTGAAAGACCTATGACTTCTATTTTGATATTTTTATAGTTTTTTTACTCTTATCTAATGAGTTCTTTCTAGTGTTATTGTATGTTAATTATATATAAATAACTTTTTTAAATCATTGTTGAAAGAAACTAAAAAGATTTAAAAGAAGTTGAAAAAAATTGAAAAATGTTAGAATTAATTTTTTCATCCCTAAAGAACAAGGATTTAGTTGTAAATTTTGGCACTTTTTTTCATTTTAAATCTTATCTTGCATTCTTAACTTTTAAATTTTTAATTAGTTATGTACTAGCGCGTTAAATTTTTGTATGTACTTTTAAATTTAACAATAATTAAATAATTAATTAGTTAAAATACTCCGAAGTTTAAATTGAATTAATTATGTGTTTAGTTTGGTGTAAAATATTTTTCAAGAAAATTTTGATTCCATTTTCATGTGTTTGGTGACATTAGTGGAAGGAAAAATTATTTTCCTACCAAACAATGAATTATATGATTGAAGAATAATTTTCTTTAGAATTATTTTACTTTGAAAAACACTCTTCAAAGAAAATATTTTACCCCAATCAAACACAATATAAATGTTAAAAAAGTAATAAGGAGACCCGGAGTATTGAAAAATGGAAAGAAAGAGAAAGCGAAAGAGAAACGCATCGAATAAAGGCCGGGAGAGTAATAGAAAATGATGATTTGGTCGTTGGAAAAAAAGGGGGGAGGAGGGGAACCACCCTAATCAATTTTTAACTTTTTTTGTTGTTATTATGAGGCCCTCATGTTTTTTATCAATTCATTTATTTCATCTTTTTTCTTCCACCATAATGTTAAATCAGATGCTCCATTAGATGAAACAAAATTGTTGAAAACTATTTTCTCTGTTTTAAAATGTCTTTCCAACTTATTATTAACGCTGTCAAATTTTAATCACTTTTTTTACTTATTTTTGTTAGTTATTTAATAAAATAATATGGTTTTTTCACCTCTTACTTTGAATAAATTTTAATGTACTATTTTAAATATATAAATTTTAAATTTTTTTACACCTACAATCAAATAAATTGACTTAAAAATAAAATCGGTCAGACATTGTTAAAAGAAAAGAGAAAAATGTTTTAGGATGGAGGGAATAATTAAGACCATCTTATGATTTAAATATAAAACAAAAAAATTATCAATTAAAATGAAAGATCGAACGCTAAAAATAAGATTAAAACAAAATATTTATTCTCAAAATAAAAATGACATGTTTAAAAAATTCATTCCCCTATATAGTCTATCACTTTATCCTTCCACCCAAGTTCTCCAATTTTTTTCCTACACCTATATATCTTTCCCTAAAAACCCACAAGCTAAGAGAAGTATATGAGATTTAAACTCATTTTCTCCTCATATTCTTGCGTACTGCGTAATCTTGCATAAAGACCTAATCCATACTTATTGGTATCTAGATTTACAAGAACTTTAGTAAAGATTTATCTAATGAGGAATTTACTTGAATAACACTAAAACATAATGACTTTCCCTACATAGCACGGCCACATGTGTTTTTCTTCCCAATGTATCACTTTTAGTCATTATCATTATTCAAGCAAATATTCACCATCACTGAACATTATGGACATTATTAAATACTATTTAGAGAATAAAATAATTTAAATGATATTTAGATAAATGACTTAAGTTTTAGTGCTATTTAGTACAAATATTTCTTATCTAATTTATTTGTAAAGCTTAGGCGTATTATTTATGGCAGATTTTCAAAATGATGATTTCTTAGATACCATTAAAATATAGAGTGGGTGTACTTTGAGTGCATATCACTTTTGTGCACTTTATCACATATATTTTTTTAAATTTTTTATCAAAATAAATGCTTATTAAGGTAGTTAAGATTTGTCTATTTGGATTATATGTAGGTCCGTGGTGAACCTTAACCTCACCATATAATTTGCCTAAAATATAACCTCTTTCTTCGCAACGGATTCAAAGTGTTTTATTTCCAATATAATAATTAATAAACTAATTAATTAATTGTATAGTTATTAATTATATAAATGTAGATTTGTACTTAAATAACCTTAAGATCTATCCACATGTGAAATGTGGACCTTCACACAATCTTCATGGATTTGCAAGGAGAAATTTTCTTTTCTGTTTTTGTAAAAAATCAATTTTTTTTATTATATCAATGCATTAATGTCTATAAAACAAACATTGATTTTAAGATTACGTATAAATTTGCCATTAATGTAATTACGCATATATCCTTTTTCATATCATAATTTTGAACTCAAATTCAGAGCTAGCTTTTCGCTCTACCTTTGTACCCTCACACAGTCACACTTGTCCCAACTCCTCGTCCCACCATCCATATTTTGACACATAACCCACCCCTATTCATTTTCGCAACATCGGGGTGGGTGGGCTATGTGGCGAAAATGAATGATATGCTAGCCCTTCCACCACTATCAAATATATGAAGTATATGTACACGCACACAGACGCAGAGAATATATATAGATTAGGCGATGGAAGCTAACCGAAAGAAGAATCCCGATGGGGCAGAGAAGAACTGATGAACTCTAAAGACACCTTGTGGCCAAGAATATCAGAGAGATCGTCGACAATGGAGGCGTTGAAGTCGTTCAAGTCCAACACATTCGTTTTCATCAAAACCGCCGTTCCCATCACCACCATCTTCTTCTTCTCTTCCCCCTCCTGGTTCGTCGTCGTCTTCAACGTTGCATCAACCACCTTTTCGACCACCATTATTTTATATATATTTAATTTCCCAAACTTCAATATAATAAAGAATGTAGTTTATGCAGTCAATCTCTTTAATTAATTGTCAAGATCAAGATGGATAAGAAGATCGAGCAATAAGTTAATGGACGTAATATATATATTTTTATAGGTTGAATAATGAAGGAGATGGCCATCTATTTATAGGTGCATGCATGAAGATTTTGGATCATTGAATAGGATGTCGACTTTATTATTATGGCTTTTGCTTCTTTTCTTTGGTCGTCGACGATGTGCTGGCGGCGGCGTTCCTTATAATTATCATTATCAATCTGCATGGAAGGAAAATTCCATGAAAGTTAGTAATTTCCACGTACTTATTATGCCTTCCATTTCTTTAAGAAATACGGAGTATTTGCCAATGTGTATATATCGATAGATGAAGAGTCAACCCTTTGAAAGTCTTGCTATCATTTTTCAATTCAAACATATAGTCTATTAGGATGTCTTCCATGGAGTTTTAAATCTTAACTTGACATTTTCCCATTCAAACATGTTCTTTAAATATTTCAGAATTCCTTCTAGTTTTTTTTTAAAAAAAGTTTTTAACTTTGGTAAATTCTTGATTACACCTAAGGTCCATAGTAGAATTTCATACAAGTCAAATGAACAATTATTACTAAAGATAAACATTTTGTAAATTTAGAATTTTTTATGGTCAAATTTATACTCGAATTGTAGGTCTCGGAAGACGAGTTCAACAACGTATTCTGCGCATGAATCAGAGTTACGAAACTTAATGTCTTAACCGCTCTTAACGTATGTCATTGGGTAGGTCTCATGAAATGATGACCAATGATATATTATGTGCACAAAAAGCACTCTAAGAAAATCTCTCCATCATTGGAGAGAAATTTTTAACAGCTCCTTCCACTGGTTTCTTGTTCTTCCATCTTTTTTTCAATCTCTTTCTATTTTTATCAATCCAAACAATAATACGAGTATATGGTCTCTTCATTCTCTCTATTTTCAATCAATCCATACAATAAATTGAGTGCACGAGATATCTATAATACTAGAGACCATGAAAAAGAACGAACTACACTCTATATCAGAAAATTGAGATGATAGATCAATTTACTATATCTCGAGATAAAGGGCAAAAAATGTGTATCTCTATTATCTGCACAAAGTTACCTAATTAATTTGTTCTACCTAAACAATAAAAATAAATCTTCTCAACCTATTTGTAAACTTTTAATCATGTAAGAAAATTCAAAAACAATGAACGGAAATGCAAAAACCTATGACCAAATTGGATCTGATAATATTTTAAGCATTACAGACTTTATATGTAATAATGTAATGACAGTTCGAAACTAATTTTGAGAACATGCTAAAAACCAAGCAAAAACCAAGCAGCGTTGAGAAAGCAATTTACCAGTCAACCAAAAGCTCTAAAACTCAACCATAGCTTGCTGTGGCAAATATTTACATACAATTAATTGTACTATTTAGGAGTGCAACACTGATTTAGCATTATAATCACTATTGCAGAGAAACAAATTTATTTAGACAGACCATTAACAAGTAAGCATACACCCTGCACTGCTTTGAGGAGATATTTTTATTCAAGTGAAACAAAGAAACGCACCAACCAGACAAATGTTACGATGAAGCTCTAGATTGAGACACTGTTAGGAATGCCTTTGCCAGTTAGACCGGCTTCGCTTGTAGGGAAGAGCAACGTGTATGGTACCTTCACAGGCCCTGTCCTGTTCTTCAGTTTTACATCTGTGTTCATTTTCATTATGCCATCCTCAATATCCCCAAGCTTCTTTCCAAACCGTGTAAATGCGTCACGTGCTTCCTGGTCTTTTGTCCACTCAGGAGATTCTCTTTGCCCTAGGTACAGTTCATCCGAAGGATGCCTTGACAAAATCTCAATAAGGGAAACACCAAGCAGAGTCTGAAGCTGAGCAGTGATTGTTCTTAGGAAAACCTTGTCTGGATCAGTCTCAAGCTCCTTGTACTCGGCAGTTCCAGGCTCTGGCATAAATCTGCGGCTTAGTGTTGGGCGGTTTGGGAGATAACCAGCATAGGGATATTGACCGAAGTTTACAGCTGCGTGAAGAGCAGAGGCTATCCAGATAATAATGGTACATGAATCAATCAGCTCCTGGACTGTCTGCATTTTAGGCCACCATGGCTTATCTTTTAAATCACCGTGTCCTTGCTCTCGAAGTTCCTTCCACCAAGCCTGAAGTTCAGTATCTTTCAGTACCATGTCATCGGATTTGTAATAAAACTTGCAGTAGTCATCTACCCAAGTTTTGATGGATGACCAGATTTCTAACCCATCAACAGCATATGGATAGTCCTCAATTAGTAGGCGAACCCCATGTGGGGAATTTGGGTCTTCAACAGCCACACCTCTAAAACATCATATAGAACAACTGTTAAATCACTTGCATTGCTATAGTATGACACTGAAGTTGCCAAATTTTTTTTATAAAAAAAGCAAAGTTATTGACGTCTTAAAGATCAACTAGTGGCATCAAAATTACATATCATTGTAACGGAGAAAAACTTCACTGAGTTTATGGTTTGTTATGGAGGCAGTAAGAAAAGACAATGGTTTATATGGGATCGTGGCATACCTCTTTAGAAGATCAGTAGGGAGTGCCTGATCAGTGAAAACCCAATCCTTGTAAACTACGGAAGACATTTCCATGGCATATTTGTCAGGGAAAACTGTCTTCTCAAGGATTCCACCACCATTGATCAAGATCTGGCGAGCCAAAGCATTGATAGTCATGGTGTCACGAAAATGGGGATGCAGAAGCTTATATAATGGGTGAAGTGCACTCAATTGCCTATTTGTTGCAATAACGAATGGCTCAATCACAGCATGTGTGTTCAACCTATGACGGAGATTCAAAATAAAAATTTAAGGACTATATAATATATCTAACAACAAAGATTTAATTCTATTTGATTTTATAAAGGCCAAAATACATACCAGTGGCTGACCAGCTGATGAACACCTGAATCATTTACAGCAACATAAGCTTTAGCTAATTCCCACACACCATTTTCTACACCTTGTTCAGCTGGTGTGTACACTTTGCTTTCAGCACCAAATTTATCTCCTAGTGAACTGGGCAAGCTGAGCTCAATTGCTATAGGCTTCAAAGTCCCATCTGTTTCCAGGAAAAGCAATGTTCTAGACGCATAAATTTTGTTACTTGTTGAATTTATGCGCCTCAGATACGGCATAAGCATGTCGTGATGGTTCAATATGAATAACCGGTTATTCTTGATTGCCTGTACCAACAACATCACATAGCATCAATATTTTAGAATATTGGGCTTTTACAAATTAAGTGCAACGAACAAACTAAACGAAATTACCTCCTCAACAGAAAGACCATCTAATCTGCCTTGGATATTCTCTTTGGTGATGTTACTGGTGTGGTCGCCATAAACATTAGGATCAAGTTTACTTTTTGGCGGGAACTCCTGCAATGAAACATTTCACAATTAAGGATTTGTCTTTAACAACTTAACTGGGTATTCAGACACCATTATGTTATATATATTATTACTTTGTGAAGAAGTATAAATAGTGTAATAAAGTTTAGGTACTTGGAGGCGACTAATGATGACAGGGTTCACTCCAGCCAGCATTTCTCTTCCAAATTCATCATCGGTTCTCCATGCAGTTTTATCCTCTATATTGCAGCATCCACAATTTGGGAATTAGAAACATCAGGAAAAAGAATGTAACACAAGGAAATAAACAAAAGTTGTACAAATACCTTGGATAACCTGTGGGGTTGGGAACTTAAAGAGCCCCTCGCCATCACTACGAAATATTTCCCTCAGCATTTCAATGGGAATGTTATCAGTGATGGCTTTGAGCAAGGGCCCATGTGGCAATTTGATCCCTCCTTCATATAGGTTAAGTACATCCTGAAAGCTGTCAAACTCGTTCGGGGTAGAATCAGACAGAGACTTAAATTCAGGGAAAAGGAACTGAACGAGAGATTTCAATGCATAAGTAAGAAAGTCTGCCAGTTTTACGTGCCCGAATCGCTCATCCCTTGGAACATATATATCTAAGCTCATAGTAAGCGGAATCCTACTCTCGGAATTAGGATCTGGCAAGGTAGTAAAGAAAGTTCAATACAGTGATGGATTAAGGAAAACTCATCAAAGGATGAAAAATACAATTTCTAAAACCATATATGCATTACCCGTCTTTGTCGGGGATCGGCCTGTCCTTCCTCGACGAGGATAAGGATACTCTGAGTTTCCACCCAAAACTGGTCGAGCAAGTTCTTCATCTTTGTCTGGATCACCCAAGTCATTGTAGTAAGCATAGTCATACACTCTGTCCCATTCCTTGAGCTCACCACTTCCAGTTCCTCTCAATATCACTAGTTCTTGTTCTCTATATTCCTTCAACAGCCCCGGCATTTCACTCGGAAGAAAAGCCTGCAGTAATGGATTCAACACTGTGAATGATATAATCACACCCCATGCTTCTGCCGCAATAATATGTACAGAGCAGTTTCATAGATAGAGAATGTTAGAATATAAATAACTGTTCCTGGGCCACAACCATAAGCTTGAGCTTTTGGTTGAGTTGGTTTCTTGACATGATATCAGAGTCTTGTTGACTAAGATGTCACGGGTTCGAAACTCAGCGCCACCCAGTTTAAAAAAATTAAGGTTTCAGGTACAAGGTTCCAAAAAGACTACGCCTGCACGTGAAAGGGCTTGTTAGAATATAAATAACTGATCTTGGGCACAACCATAAGCTTGAGCTTTTGGTTGAGTTGGTTTCTTGACAGAGAAGAACCCTAATCTCAAAGAAGTTGAAACTCCACTGAAATTGAAGTGAAGAAAACTACGGAGTACAAAAAATCAACGAATGGACTGTGGATGAGATGAAATCCGTACCTGGTTGGCGAAGAAGACGCGGTCGTAGTTGTATTTAGAGGCCGGATAAACCCAAGAGAAGCAAACAAAGTGGACATCACCATGATTGGGAAGGTCATGGAGGGTGAGGGTTTTGAGGAAGAACTCGTTGGGATGATTGTTCTTGATGACGAACGCTCCCGGAACCCCAAAACCTTCATCCCACTCGAAGCTAAATTCCAACGCCGACTCGCCGGAGGCTAAAAGGGAGTTGTTGCGCACCCACTTGTCCAAGGAGATCGCCTTGCTGCGCTTTCCTTTCAAAGCATTTACTGCAATTTCACCATTTTCACGTCTGACGTCTCTATACAGATTCTCTCCAGCCCACAATAGAGCAATGGTAGGGTAAGCAAAAAGTGTACCCAAGTACATCATCCCCTTCCCACCATTTATTTTTATTTGATTTTTATTTATTTATTTATTTATTTTTGATTTTTTTGCCCAATTAATTGGACAAGGAGAGAGGAGTGAGGGACAAATAGGATACACTTTTAGTATACCCTAATCATTTTTCCCCACAACCAAGAAGAATTAATTAAATTTTGTCTTCAATCTCCAGTACTCTGCAGTTCTTAGTTCTTATAGCTCTCCCTTTAAATTTTTTTTGAATCTCTTGCCAATTATTGTGGACAAGGAGAGCGTGAGAGACAATTGGGGTACACCAAAAAAGGTGTACCCCTAACATTTTTCTTTTTTCATTCTTTTCTTGGATGCGTGTGTATTTATACACTTAGGAGGATGTGACTTGTCTTGGAGTTATGTAGGAATTAGGAATAGATTAGGAAATTAATTAATTATTATTACTTCTTCTGTGCCCAATTTGATTACAAATTGTGGGTTACGGAGTAAAATTTCCTACTTTTAAAAATCATTTTTTTTACAAATTGGTATATTAATAAGATATAAAAATTAGATATTAAAAAATTACATCAAAAGTTATACAAAACAAGACGTGACAAGAACATTTTATTTTATCATATACTTAATAAAATCGCGTAAACAAACAAAAGTTATCGAGAGGAGAGAAAAAAAATTGTAATCAATTTTGGAATGGAGGAAGTATTATATTATAAAATCTTTATATTTATTTATTGAGCTGTAATATCTATTACACTCATAACTCTTTACATCAAAATCTAAACATAACAAACTATATACTGTTGGTCACCTTTTTATGATATCAACCCAATTACTTAATTTTTAAATCAAAAGATTGACTTTACAAATAGTTTATATTTTCGAGTCAGAAAATAAAATAGGACATTATATTTATTTTTAATCAAAATAACGGCTAAACACTAAGCCGAGTAATTTTTTTACCCAAAGTTAAAATATTATCAATAAATGATTCTTTTAACTATATCGTGAAGGACGACAACAAAATCACACCTTAAACTCAGTCCATAGACAAACACAGGTATTGCTACCTCGCTCCTGAATATTTTTACGTGTATCCTAATTCACAACTCAAATAGTCTCATTTGACATTCTTAGAAAGAAAAAAAACTTGATAATCATCACCTTTAAGTGTTGCCTCAGGCCCATAGTGTGTCAAACAAGATCACACTTAATGCCAAAATTCTTAATCAATAAATCTATGAGACCTGATTAACACCTTGTATATATATGTCAAAATTCTTAAGCAATGAATAGAAACTCAATAAATTGCTACACTGAAATGCCCATACTGTGTCAAACAAAACCACATTTAACGCCACATGTAACCGCAACAATCATGTTATTGTATAAAGTCATACATGTAAATGGATAATGTTAAACAAAGAGATATTGTCAAGTATGACAATGTACAGTGCCACACTTGGAAATGTATAATGACTGTCAATATATAATGTTACATATCACACATATGTTAATGCATAGTCTCAAAAAATTTAAACATCAAGAAACTCTATTTGCCAACACAATAATCCTTTAGTTTCAATATATGTTTTACTCTTATTTAGGGAGTTTTCTTTAATTAATAATGGTTACCATTTTTTTAATTTCGTAACATACGGGAGAAGAAAAACATTACCAATGTTCTCAATTATTTGGTGGATATGAAGGGTACGGAAGGTCTGGTGGCAGACGAGGATTATGATAAGTCTACCAAATCACCACGTCAGGTAATTTAATTTCTAGTCATATCACTTCAACCAGTTCATGGTCGTCGTACTGTTTGTCTCCAGCCACCTCCTCCGGCGGTTGCACATACGGATCGGAGGGGATTGATTTGGAGATAGAAGAAGAAATTAGTGGGGTGGGAAGAGGGGTTCTTCTCCGGTAATTTTCTACGGAGTAGTATATTCTCTTTCTCTTTACAATTGTTTTTCTTTTTCATTTTATTCTTAATCTTCATCTTCAAGGTGCTTGAAGATACAGAATTGCTAGCTGGATTGGGATTGATCCCGAGGATGAAGACTTCAATGATCAAGTGATGACAGCTATAAGGGTATATGGTGTCATCACTTGATCATTGAAGTCCTCATCCCCGGGATCAATCCCAGTCCAGCTAGCAATTCTGTATCTTCGAGCACCCTAATGATGACGATTAAGAATAAAATGAAAAAGAAAAAAAATTGTAAAGAAAAAGAGAATATACCACTACATAGAAAATTACCGGAGGGGCACCCCTCTTCCCACCCCACTAATTTCTTCTTCCATCTCCAAACCAATACCCTCTGATCCGTACGTGCAGCCGCCAAAGGAGGTGGCCGAGACAAAGAGTACGACGACTCTTCTTTGCCATGAACTGGTTGGAAGTGATAGGACTAGAAATTAAATTGCCTGATGTGATGATTTGGTAGATTTATCATAATCCTTTTCTTACCACCAGACCTTCCGTATCCTTCATCTCCATCAAATAACTGAGAACATTGGTATTGTTTCTCTTCTCTGGTATATTACAATATTTGAAAAATGGTAACCATTATTAATCAAAGAAAACCTTCTAAATAGGAGTAAAACATATTTACTTTTATTTTTTGTTTTATCTTATTTCTTACTCCTTCCGTCCCTTAAACTTTTTCCCTTTTCTTTTTTGCTTGTTCCACAAATTTATTCCATTATCTATTAAAAACCCACATTTACTCTAACTAGTTATTACCATACCCATAACATCATACTCCCCCTTCTTAAAATGTTTGTCACATTTCCTTTTTCAACCATCGTGGAAACTTTTGTTTATTTGTACGTTTTCATTGATTATTTCATAAAACAAAATATTATTGACACCTCTTATTTCGTAAAAAATTTCACATAGTTTTTAAATATGTAAATTTTTTTTTCTATACCACAATTTAAATAAAATAAATTGAAAAAATTTAATATTTTACCTCGTTTTCAGAAATGTGGTAAAGATTTAGGGGCAGAGAAAGTGTCTTTTTACTAATAATCTATCCATCATATCCTAATTTTACCCATCATATAAAGGTTATTTTTAGAAAGTTAACATAAAAATATCATTCTCTTAAATTCTAAAAAAGTCAATAAGGGGAGAACTTTAAAAAACGGAGGGAGTATATTTTAATCCTCAGTTTTTAAAGTTCTCAAAACAAGTTTAAATTTTTTTATTTTAGAAAAGAAAAATAAAATTGTTAATCTCATATGTACAAATGCATTATATGTTTATTTCATTTTCAAACAAAAATAATTTTAAATTTTAAGAACACTATAAAACAATTTTAAAATTAAATTTAAAAAATTTTGATTAATAAAAGAAATAAAAAAAGTTAAAAACAAAAAATGAGAATTGAGCACCGAATCCTAATATAGTTTGGAAAAAAGACATCAATATCTCCTTCTTCGCCAGAAAAATGGTCAGAAAATGATCAAAGGTGGGTATGGATACAACAATTTGAAACTACGGGGACTTAAGAAATAAACTTTGAAAATTGCAAGGTATTAGTGCTTAGTTTCACGTGGGGGGGNAAATTGTTAGGTAGAAATTTTTTATATTAATTTGTAATTTCTTTATAATTTGGTGTACAAATTAAATACTTCGTATAAAATGGGGAAAGCCTATAGAGTAAGAAAATAAAAAGAGTAAATTCCATAAAAGATCTCTAGTTATAGTTCGTTTTACATCTTTAGTCCCTACATATCAAATATCAATAATTTAGTCCCCAAAAGAATAATCATTTGTTAACATTTCCATTAAAAACTTAGATAAAATTGTAAATTCACACTCCTCTCTCCTCAATTAAGCTTCCTCCCTCCTCTCGCACTCATTTCCCAAACCCGTCGTTGAGTTTGAAGTTTTGAACCCAAAACCAAAATCATCACTTTTCTCTCAATTCTTCATCTTCGGTGGAATCAAAGATCAAAACCAGTAACCTTCATGGATGAGTTTTAAGGTTTGTTTTCTTTGCAATTTCCTTAGACTAACTCATTACACTCATCCATGATGGTTGTTAGATTCGATTTTGGGTTGCACCAGGAAGATGAACAATTGAGAGATGAATGATCATTTCGGTTTTGGGTTTAGAGCTTGAAACTCAGCGATGAGTTTGGGAATCAGTACGCAAGGAAGAAGGAAGCTTACTTGAAGAAAAAGAGATGAGTATGAATATACAATTTTATCCATGTTCTTAACAAAAATGTTAAGAAAGAACTATTTGTGGAAAAGAAAAAAATAATTTGGGACTAAATTATTAATATTTGATATGTAAGGACTAAATATGTAAAACAACCTATAACTCGAAACCTTTTATGGAATTTACTCAAATAAAAAAGTACCAGTACGATTTCTATATTTTAAATCATCATCCAAAATAAAAGTAAACATAATTCTTATTCATAAGGACACAATTCAAATGACATTAGTTATCAATGTCACCCTATAATATTAGCTCCAATTCTGGATCCTAATGTGTCCCATTTGGTAAAACTAACGATTCTTATGCTTTAGACCTGAACAAACTCGGGCCGACCCATGCAACTCGCACATCTCGCCTTAAAATGGAGGGATATGGACAACTATCTGAACTCATTTGGGCTGGGCCGACCGGCTAGAAGACAATATAATATGGACGGGCTTAGACATTAAGTTTGACACGCACGAGCCGGCAGACCAACATAATATAGTAATATACACACATATGCTCTCTATTGTATTATGGAGTAATATATTATACTCCTTCTGTCTCTGAATATTTGTCCATTTTTTATTTTTTTGTCAAAATTGGTAAACTTTGACCTCATAATAAATAAAAATGATACAAATTTTGATACAAAATTTTTTTTTATTATTATTTCAAATATTTTCATAATA